TCGCTAGCTGTTCCCACTAGATCGTCAAAAAAGTCGAGAACGACAGTGGTAAAATTACAGGCACATGGGACTTGTCAACTTGTCTCAGGGTGCCGGGCGCACTGGCAGTGCCTCTCAGATCTTTGCGATTTAAAGCTTGCGAGTGGCACTGCAACTGCTTTGGACAGGTGTGTAGCTTACCATCAGGCGCACTTATTCGTCCCGTCACTTGAAATTAAAATATATATACAAGCCACGACACTTTAAACTGCACGAATATCTGTCGTCACGACATAATGGGAACGCGCCCTTAGATGTCATTACAATGACCCATACACGAGTAACATGTTATAATAACAATAAACAAAATAAGAATAACATGCCATAAAAGGTATACTATTGAATAATATTCACATTGTTTACGCTTGTAAAACTAAACATCAATGTAATACTGCCGTCCTAATCACAAACAACATAATCAACATTTTTAGCAAAATTGAGTTATTAACATATCTGGAATCAGCAAGACGACATCTACAACCCCTATACACGCTTATTTTATGTTAGTTACTTTCAGTTTTATTGTTAAGCAAAATCAGCGTTATTAACATTTTTCAAAGAAAAAAACTTTACTTGCCAATAAGTCGCAAAATGCAAATGCGTTGTTTATGACAAGACATGTATAATATGTCTAATAATATATATACGCAGATAAACCTATAAATACGTAATAATTAGTTGAAATAAGGAGCGCAAATTACGTTTGACACAAACATGGTTGTTGTGCGAGTTTTGTAAAACAAACATAAGGTGGGGTAGAGGAATTTGGAGTCGCAATAAAGTTTGAAAGGGCTGTAAAAGACCTATAACTGTAACTCGGGGAGAGCGCTGATTTTAGTGGGGACCGCGCCTCGCCCGAACACATTGCCGTTACCTAATAATTGATTTGTAAGCTTATGTTTGCATATGTTACCTTTTCATACGGCATGTTTCAACATAAGTTTACGCTAAATAACGAAGAACTTCGACGAAGCGAAAATTCTACTATGCGATGATGATAGTTTTCTATAGGATGATAAGCACATTCGCAATCGGTTTGTCATTATAATTCAAAACAAGAAGTATCCTCCAAGATTACTTCAATAATTTAATAATTTGTAATGGTAATCTATGAATTTTACTCAATCGTCACATTAAGATGCAACTCCATCTATTAAGCGATTGCTAAACAATTTAAAGTTCTGCTACTCGCCGATAGATTGTAAATCAGAGAAGAGCTAACCACTTACTTCATTTCGCTACTGAACAATAGATGGCGCTGTACGTAATCAAAGTAAGTTATTAATTAATTAATAACGATGATACAACCAACATATAAACAATTAAAGTATAAGATGTTAATGTTAATCTAATATTTATTTTCACCCTGCGCCTAGCTCTGGAGCTCAGTGCATTTGTAGATATCTAAATGGAACCACAGATATTACCTGGTAGCTGATAAGCGATAACATGTCAACCAACACGATCATAGTTCTGCGAAAATGGCACCTGGGCCATATTCATCTATATTGTACATTTTCAGGTAATTTTTGTCACAAACCTTTTTCGTGGTTAAAAATATAATTAAATACAACAATATTATTTTAATACTGTTAAAATTATATACTGCTGGTATTTTTATATCAAAAACTATTAATTTACTCTAGAATTTTAATACAATATAATAGTTTTTTGAGCATTTAAATTTTAACAATTTTACTTTCTATGACATTTTAAATGTCACATCCCTCGGGTGTCGAACAGGAATTACAGCCGCGGGTTAGCAGAGCAATTCACGAAGTTGACATTACTGACTGTAATATTAATATAGTTATTAAAATTGTAATAAATAATTACATTTTAAAACAATGTTTAAAAAATCATTTTAAATTACTGTAACAGTCTTTTTTTCCGTTTCGTAACATTTTGTTTCGTGACGCAAATCGAATGTTACAGATTCATTAAAAACAAATAATAATCAATTTTAATGCAAGCATAATTGTTCTATCGACGAATGTACCATGGACATATTATGCCTATTTTAAAACGTCAGCTGTGAATTTGATCGCACCTCAATTTCAGGTACATTTAAGTTTCGGTTTAGTCACAAAATTTCAGTAATTACGGTAAAAAAACCTATCAAATTATTTAAATATTTCTTTGTTTTTATAAAGTACAGCTAAAATTACGTAGTAAGGCTTCATTTCATCACATTTGCGAGCGTTTATTCAAAGAGCTAAGTTATATTTCCTTGGTTTTTTATTGTCGGTTTAGTAACGTTTCGTTAGGTAACAATACGGAAAAGGCTAGGATCACATTGAGCTCTTGCTAACCATACAAAATTATGTATTTATTTGTTACTGTTCAAATGCTATATAATCCACAACCTCCGTAGTCGAGTGGCTTGCACATCGATTTTCATGGTTTCTCATGTCTGAGCCCCCGGGTACGATCCCCGGCCGAGTTAATGCAGAAAAAACTAACTTTTCTATATTGTCTCGGGACTTCTCGTTGTTTTCGATTTCCATAACACAAATGCTTAAAAGTTACTTACTTTGGAATCAGAGGAAAGAAAGACCAAGAGATACAAAGACAGAAATGGAGTTACGAAAAAAGAAGTCAAAATAATGTAAGCCTACAAGAGATAACAAATTTAAATGGAAATCCTACATATATTCAACTAGTGCTGGAAAACAAAAAGCTAAAAAAAATGTATTCTGATTTTGACATAAACGAACGAAGGCTGAGACAACAAAATTATCGGCTGAAAATAAAAACCTTGACAACTTTTCTATTACACGTAGAAAAAAATTTAATTATGTTGAATCAGCTTACATTGCGAATAAAGACTCACCAAATATTATTATTTGTTTTTATGTCTTGCATTATGTGGGCTTATATTATCAATGATTATTTCCTCGCCACGTCGTCGTGGAGTGAAATGGAAAGAATATAATCGGTTATTTTTTATTACATTAAGTTAGTTTAATTTCCTCAACTGTGCCCAAGCCCTTATGTTCCGTTTCGGTATTTTCGTTACTATCCGTTTCGTTTCTGTTTAGTTACATGTATATGACCGATATGAATATGACCTATCTAAGGATTTTTTCGTTGTTTTTGATACTTTCCTGTAATTTACTTATAAAATGTGGAATGAGTAATAAATTACAACAATTCATCATTCCTGAGGTGACAAAAGCAAAAGTTTTCATTTTACATGTAAATTTTAGAACAAAGTGTAAAATACAATGAAAAAATCATTAAGTGCCATTTTCGCAAACTATGATCATGTTGTTTAACACGTTATTGTTTATTGGCATCCACTTGTACTTAGTCACTGTATCCAAATGCTGACTTATTCTTTATTAACGTAATAAACATATAAATATCAAAATTCTCCATTTTAATTTGTCAAAAACATCACGTCCTTAATCCCCATCTTTACTCTGCGGTGGAATTTGAGATGAAAAATGTAAACATAGGTGACGTTAAGAAAAAATACTTTAAAAATTGTGCAAACGCGAAATATTGAGAAAAGTTTCACCAATCGTGTTTATGTTTTATCATTATATTGATCAAACCTTCAAGTAATCGTACCTTTTGCTGTTACTAAAAAAACATTGTTTTAGACACAAAAAAAATCAAACATCCTTTTAAGAATGTCAATTAATGCTTTTGACTTCTCAGACTATCGTTCGCATCGACTGCAGCTGACTATTGCCGTTTCAACTGCATGCAGTCGAGGTCACGACGCATGCAGTTAATCACGACTGCACGCATTAACTGCAGATATATATCGATGGTGGAAATTTGAAATATCCTAAGAGACATTTTGTCGTAAGATCATTTTCCCTTACGATAAAATATTCCTTACATTTCAAATTTCCACTGTCGCATAACAGTGACCGTCAGGATAGCTGGTCGCCTGTCGCATCTGGCACTGAATGTATATTCAAGAATTTGCTACCTTTTCTAAACAATTGCTATCACCCAGAACATTCAGACCAAAACCATTTCAGAAAAGTTAATAATTAAAAGTTAATTTAATATTATTATTAAATTGGTTCACCAGGAATCGAATCCGGGGCCTCCTCATCCAGCGCTCATAATCAAACAGTTCGGCCACAGAGGTCGTCATATGATTTTATACTTTACAGTGAACCAATCCGACATTTTAATATTAATAGACGTCATAATGAATTAATAAAGCAAAAAAAAAACCGACCTCAAAAGTACGTGGAATTACATCTATTTGCCAAGTTTTATTGAAATATCCCCTAGTTCGCCACTACACAGGACTTGACACAGGAGATAATAAACATCGGTTCTCACTACTCAAAGTAAATTGAGAGAGAAAAACGCCTTGAATTGGAGAATAGCAAAACCAACCATTAAAATAATTGCTCCTTAAGTAAAATTTAAGCGCTATTTATAAAAATGAATGTTCATGCGTGATCAGCTACCCTTAGAGGTGGATTTTCTTCAAAATGAAATGGGACCACTGTGGAGGTACCCTCTTTCCAACAAAAAAAGAATCATGAAAATCGGTTCACAAATACCGGAGTTATCGCGTAAAATACATACAAAAAAACATACAGTCGAATTGAGAACCTCCTCCTTTTTTTGAAGTCGGTTAAAAAGGAATATGCTTTTAATTAGACATCACTGTGTAAAGGCAACGCGCCTTGATTATAAATCACGGCATCTACAGGACACCATCCGGCTCTTAGAAGCCGCTGGACGACCTGGCATTGACACCGGAAAATAGGTGACTATAATTAAGACTCCCTGCGTGACAACGATTGACGCAACTGTATCGAAATATCGAGTTTATTAACAAAAACAGGTACACAGTAAAAACACTAATTATACTTGTTCCGCACAAGGTCATTCAAGTTATGAATTGAAACCGCTATCGTCTTAATAATAAAAAAAAAAGAATATTTTTTTCCTTGTCCGTATTGCATTAATATAATACTTACAAAGACGAGCATAATGACGAAAGCGGCGATATAGGAACTCCGCGCTGTCAACATAGACACGAAGCGATAATGTTCGCCGGTAATCACATTCCTGTAAACAATAATAAACAATACGTACTTAATATTTAATATTGTTTAGTACCTTGAATTACTATTATGTATATTTAAATTTCTTTTTTATGTTGAAATTAGGTACAGAATTCTTCACACATACTTTAAGATGTTTAATTATTACTATCAAGGATGCTATACATTATCATATGAGGCAGAGTCTGCTCCATTAATTAAATATTCTGCATAACCGTTTAAATTGTTTTCAAGTTTTAGTAATTTTGTTACTTATTTTTATTTCATTATTCATCATCATAATGGTACAAACAGCTACTATTACAACATAACACAAATTATAATACCTTACAGTATAAAGCATTCTGATGCCTTACTTTCTCAAACTCGTATCTTATAAAGAGTTATTCAGCAGATGGCAAAACTTTCTATTTATTTTAAATTTCTTATCAATGGTGTTAAATTGGATGCATTACTTTAAGAATAGGTAAAAGACAGCGTGTGAATGTGAAGGAAATGTTATGTTAAACTAGCCTGCAAATTTGTATATACAATCCATTTTCTGCATTTCAGTAACTTTGTGCGTTAATATGCGAGTTTGAGAAAGTAAGGCGACGACTTGCCAAATGGATTATGATTTGTTCAAAATATTTAACGACTTCTATGAATATGTCCTATAAAAATCGAACTTCATTTTAGTATTCATTGTAGGCTACTACTACTAGTAATGTACAAGTAATTAATAAGCAGCTTATATTTGTCAAGAAGCCAAACAAATGAACAATTATGATTATGTATATTTCTTACACTTCAGTGTATTGTTAACATTTTTACATGGCTTAATTTTGTATAGCTGCTTCAGTAAATAACAACAACCACGTGACTACTCACAAAAGTGATGCCACACCGGTATCAATAAGTCCACGTGCTGTACATATTTAAAGCTTTAAAAAAACCAGTTCCGGTTGCAAAATCGAGGTGACATTTCATATGCACCAATGAGCATCCTCTGTGGGTTTTATTACGGTATCAGATGACCTCACTGGTCAATTACTCTAATTGCATACTTCAACAAATACGCTATAAACATACACATTAACAGTGGGACGTATTTCTCTTTTTTCTTTAATTATAGGTTCTATGACTTGAATACAGGAAACCAATAAAAAAATATGGATGAACAATACGAGAAAAACCTACCTCAAGTAACCTTTATTATCCTCCTGCTCTGCTAAAGTCTTTATTGAAGCCATTAATAGATCGTCATAACCCAAAAACTCGTCGAGAACGAATCTTGAGAAAGAGTCTCCGAAGCATTCGTCCTTTTGAGGGTCGAGAGTCACTATCTTGACTGGTATTTTCAGACGCAGTCTTGCGCTTGGCGAGAGACGAAGAAATCCATACTCCAGAGAGTATTCTAGAATGTAGTCGTCGTCTGGAATATATAAATGTAACAATTATTACCATTGACCTAAATTACAAGCAGTAGCAGATTTAAAGATCTGAGCGGCAGTGCAACTGTTATGGATAGGCCTGTTTACCACCAGTCGCAATACTTGTTCGTCCCATCTCTTGGCATAATAAAAAAACATTGTTTAAGAACTATCTTAAAATGGTATTTCGTCTCTGTAATGTTCTTTCGCTAAAGGCTAATCTAAGCTATTTCAAAGTAGCTCACATCAGACGGCCCAAGGAATGAAAGCGCAATTACTGATCAGCTTGGAACTCATCCCCATAGTAAAGAAGCAGTTTTTTACCCACATCAGCGAAATTCGATTAATGAAATGATTGATCATTTGCAATAAATTGCCAAAACGCAATTTCGGCTTTATAATAACAGCGACTGTTGCATTTAATTTTTTTTTTACGTTCTTATGTGACTGACAAAGTAATCCTTATATTGTGTGGTACTGTAAAGAACATTTCTTAACTTATTCTATAAGTGTGCTTTAAGATAACGAAATTTACCTTTTGAAGAATCATTGGTAGCCGACTCGTCCATTGATTCCTGTAAAAAAAGAAACAGAAAAAATAACTTTATAATTTTCCTGTGACAACAAACAAATTTTAGAATTAATAGTTATCTACCAAGATCATTAACATCATTTAACCAACTCAATGATAACGATCGCATAGATCTTCTGTAACAGCGTCAAGAATATAAAAACTATTGACTAATAACTTCTTATCAAGTGACTAATAGAGCGATTGTTTTCTTATAGAAGTGTTAGTTTGTGTTATGGTAGTGTTATTTTCTTATTCTCATGTGTAGAAGCTTTTAATTAACATTTTATTAATCATTTTTAAATCCGTATTGCAAAAGTAGCCGTAAGCTCCCCTAATATAATACAATAAAACAAAACTCGAGTTTACACGGCACTGCCTATATGTACTGCACATGTTTGGTTATATCGAGATTGTCAGCATGCTTCAGCATGAAGCAAGACGATAATGCTTTATAGTAGAGAAGCGGTGTTGATGTGAGAGGCATAAATGGACTACAACCCTGACTATACACCCCGTGCTAGGGTAGGGTAGGGTGCCCTACTTTCGAAGTACGAAATATGTAGTTACGGCCGTTTTCACACTATGGATGACCTATAGACATGATTTTCGATTGGGGCTAGAACTAAGAATGTACGACAACGCGATTTGACAGTTTCGAACGGGCCCGTCTTTCCGTTGACGAACTTCCTAGAGTATCCCATAGATCATCCACAGGAGGGAAAAAGGCCGTAGCTGTGGATTTCGTGCATCGAGAGTATGGCCCGGTGTTGATTTGTTGTGTGGTACCGACTGTGACAACTTACTTATTTATTCAAATATAATGTTTAGTACCTTGTATTGTTTTGTGATCGTTATAACAATAAAGATTATTGCAGCGTGACGTTATAAAACTGGTCATATTAAGATGATTTCTGCGCTGAATATATGGCATGAGTACACCTGCGTAAGTAATGTCGATAATAATTAATGACGCTATCGGTTTATTAGATAAAATAAAAATGTATAAAATGGTATTTGTATACTTATTCACGGACAGAAAGAGATAACGTTATATGCGTTTCACCGAAAGAAGATAAGGTACATTTTCCAATGCACTCACTACTAAATATATTTCGGTGCCGGTGGCAAAAAAAAATTGTATCATATTTGCACACGCTGGTTTTAATGACTCTTACGGTCCCAGGTTTTTGTGTGACCTCCGCGGCTCTGAGGTTAGCAGTATGGGCGTTAGATGGGAGGTTCCGGGTTTATTCTCCGTTGAACAAATTAATGTTTATTGTTTAGGAAAATTTAGTTCTGATCTGGGTGCTCTGAGTAGGGAATTGGAATTTTCTAGTTCAGATGGTCGTTCGGCACATTAATTATTAATGTACTGAACCTAGTATAAATTGCCTGTTTGTGCAATTTATATTATTAAAAAAAGAAGCGTGTCAATTATTTCTATTAATTTCATATAATGACGACTTTAATAAGGCGATATATATTTTAATTTAAAAAAGCAACAATTTAGACAACTGTCTTGTAACATTTCGAGTAAGTTCTTGCAAGTTATACAAGCATCGAGTATATAATTAGAAATTGAGACGAAATAAGGGCCATCCATCCCTGGCAACTCATCAGGTAAATGGACTTTATATCACTTTTAAATATCAACTTTCGTTTGCGCTGAAATCACAAATTAGACAACTGAACTAGTACAGGGCCAACAACTGACCTGTGTGTACGTCTTCGTATATTACAAAAATATTCAGTATTTATTGTAATAAAAATAATATCTCTAACAATGGGGGCTGTTCTAATCGGTGGTGTGGGAACAACAGCAAAACATCAACGTGCAGCACCCGGACAAACCAATGTAGGTTTAAGGGTGTGATGTATATATATTTTTGTAATATTCTTAGTGTTTAAAATAAATAAATAAATAAATAAATAAATCTAATTACAAAACAAACGGAATCACATTTCATCGGTAATTAAACATTGAATATATAATTTTACAATTTGCGTCCATTATAGCAAAGCTAAGTTAAAGTGGTCGATTTGAAGTGAAACAATTGACGACACCCATCAATTGTTTCGAATTCGGGCTGGTCAATCAGAGCGCAGTTGTCACAGTAATGATTTGGCAGAATAGTTTTCAAACAAATTAAATAAATGACATTTCGTCCCTATTTCTGGTTATATACTCAATGTATACGAGACTTGTAGATTTTAAAAATAACTAAAGAATATTTACAATTTGACATACATATGACAATAAAATTGACATAAATATTTTTAAGAATTAAAAACCACATTTACTGTAACTTTGTAGCAAAATTAACAACAATGTGCGCGTCACGATAGATAGTTATAATTATATGTAGATAACAAGACTTAAGACCAACAAACATGATACCACGGCAAACCTGACCATACTTCGACATTCTATTGTCCACAATTTGTGATAAATAACAATATTTTTACTAGAATTATGCACTTTTAAATAAAAAACGTTACGAGATAGGCTAAAAGAACAAGTTGCACTACTTCCAGTACTACTAGTACTAAAAATCTAAAAATGGAGTATCTTCTAGACAGTGCTGATAATGTGTGCAAGCTCAAATCAATTGTAGTAGCATAATACAGGTAAGTATGTGTGTGTGGACTGAGGGCCCACATGATTTTTGCCACTCTACTGACGAACAATTTCTAAGCGACGACGTACCTCATACGGTTAAAAGTAAAATTTATTCATTTGTAGGGGTAGTGTAGTGTAGTGAAATTTGTTGGTATGTTATGATTACAATTCTTGTAAAATTGCTGAAAGTACTAAAAAAAAGCATGTTTTTACATTATAGTAATAACTTCGCTCTCGTGAATACTTAAAAGTACCCTTTGTAAACCCTCCGTATTTCAGTTGATTCTGATTTAAAAGATATTTAAGTTAGAAGTAGTATGTTCTTACGTGGACACCCTACTACATACACGGCTAAGGAAATATTGAAAAGCAAATTATCTTGTCTAATAAGCCACCAATCCATTTTAAAAAAAGCTTTAGCTTTAGCTTTAGCTTTACTATATAGTAAAGCTTTTTGACTAAACCTCAATAGGACGAATATTTCTATATTGCTTATATTTTAGGATATTCTAATTAATTCACATTTCTATAGTATTTGAACTGAGTGATCACAAATAAATATAAAATTTACGAAATTGGCTCGTAATTGTGGTTTTGTTTTGCTTTTACAATCTTCCTTGGAATATTTACTAAAGTTTGTTTGTTGTCTTGTTTGTTTATTTACTAAAATAATATAAATATTTTAATTAATTTACTCATTTATAGGTTTTTTTAAATGTGGGCCCTTCGGGACCATATTTATTTATTTATTTATTTATTCAATTATAAATGGTGTAACCTGACGGTAATTGACCATAGCGTTACGTCAATTTAATTTTAACAAAATAAAAATAAAGATAAACAAAAGAAAAATCAACAAAAATTAAAAACAAGTAAAAATCTTAAACAAAACATATTACTAATCTAAACTTAAATTAAATAACTAACTAATAAACTAAAATCCATCCTGTCTTCTCTCTAGCACTCTTTTCCATTCATTCAACAGTCTCGCTATCCCTGTCACAAATAGATCATATTGCGGCGTTGCTGCGAGTACAGAGTTGAGGAGAGAAGCCGCTCGGGGAAGGGGAGAGTGTCGGTATTGTTCAGTGCGTGTAGGCACAGTTGCTAACAAGGGCACATAACATATAACGAACAGTGTAATAATATAATATATAATCAATGCCAAATTACGTTTTGTTCATTGTGTAAATGTTTAAAGAGGTTTTTACTAAATTTCTGTTAACAAAATATATACTTACAAACTAAATACTTGTCCAGAAGTGGAAGCTTTGGTGTGAGAACTGAGAGACCGCACCTTAGGTGGTATAGCTATTTAATATATGCTTTACAAACTCCAGGATGCGTTTTACACAATGCTTTACAACTTGAACTAAACATTCCAGTTATTACAATTGGCAAAAATCATGTGGGCCCTCAGTCCACACACACATGGTTAAATACTGTGTCCTCACACGTTTGCTGGTGTGTGTCAGAATTTACAAATTTAGTATTTTTTATAATAATAATAATAATAACGCATTCACTCATAGCCCCGCACTAGGGAAACCCTGTATAGCGAGTGCCATGGACACACATAGGTAGACAACCACAAATTACACCCAAATTCACGAGATAAATAAATGCAGGCCATACTAATATTTCTCCCGGCCCGGGAATCGAACCCGGGACCTCTACGTGGCAGCTCAGCATGGTAACCGTTCGGCCACCGAGGCAGTCTTATCCCCTTTAGCAGCAGTAGAGCCTCTTGGGAAAGAGTTCGTCCAGGGAAGAAGTGCCACCTTACCTATTTCTGCCGCCAAGCAGTAATATGAGCATTACTGCATTTCAGTTTTGGAGGGTAAGGGTGCTGGTGAAATTACAGGCACATGGGACTCTTCAACTTATATCTCAGCATGACGGGTGCAGGAGCAGCGACCTTAACATTTCTGCGATATAAAGCCCTGAGCGGCACTGCAACTGTTATGGACAGACTTATTCGACACGACTTATTCGTGCCGTCACTTCTATCACAAAAAAAGAAAAACTACTCATAACATAGAAACAACCGGCGATATGATGACAGCGAACCCCTTAGCACGATCTGACACAAACATCAACCGTGTGGGATCAACCTCAAAACCAGGCGTACAGTCGGGACAGCTCAGTCATTAATCATTTCTTTGATCTCAATAATTAATTTGAATAGTAGATAAAAAAGGTTTATATCGTGGTACACAAACCAGCTTAGTTATGTCTAGTATATTAAAACTGATTAACGTGAACCTTAGGTCACATAAATGTTGTCCTTATCACAAAGCACAATATTAGGTATAAATTCACTTGGTATTTGTAAATAAAATATTGGTTTTATGTTAGTAGCAAAAATAATTCTCATTTCACAGACAAGTTTCATCATCTTGGACGATCACCTCAAAGCTTCAAAGATTTTGCCTGTATTTCTCAATATTTTACAGAAAAAAAATATAGAATGTAATCTGATGTTTACAATCTTTTCAGTGGTATCAAACGTAATTAAGGCTCATCTTTAGCTAAAAATTTTCAAAACAGAACTTAGCCATAATTCAGTACCTCTACAATTACAATACAGTTCAGTATGTTGTGTATAAGCTAAATAATCACATAAGAGGAAATTATATTTCATCTATCTACAAATTGTCTAATCGTAAAACTATGCCAGATCTAAGTTTTTTCCATAAAATTGTGAATAATTCAATAGATTCTCCAGCACTTACTTCCAAGTAAGGTTAGGTTTACTGTTCCTAGACCAAATGCAAGACCAAGAAATTATACACCTTTTAAAACTTGTACCTCTAGAACTAATCGTGGTATCTCTGCTCCTATAAGTAGAATTGTTAAAACTTCTAACCAGCAGTGATTTGGATATTTTTAATGATTCCCTGCTCAGTTTCAAAACTAAAATAAAAAGGTTCATGTTTACCAAAATTTTAAATAATATTAAAATAAAATTATATTAAGTAATTATCTTAATGTGTAACCTATTGCTATATGAATTTGAAAGCGTAAACCTTAATGTTATAATAAATTCCGCTTGCTAGTACGAGCATGCTGTGGTAGTCTGTAAGTGCGAGATGTACGTTTTTTTATATTTTTAGCAATACTCTGTATATATATTGTATTGGCTATCCATTCTAAATAAATAAAAAAAAAGTAAAAAAAAAAAATTTGCATGATGCTTTTTTGTCATATACACGTTAAGAGATGCATGCCTAGTAAAAGCACTATAGAAACAGTAGGTACACTGAAAACGTATAATAGACGATAATGATTATATTCGTGAGTGATGCATTTGGTGCTGCACGCGCAAGCTGCAATGCCTATTGGCACACTTAAGTTTCGAAATATGATAAATGAATTAAAGCTACCATTATCTAATTCTCTAAAGCGCAAATGGGTAATAAAAGGGTTATATTATCGGAAATACCCAATAATTGATGCCTTTTTGGGTACTTTTTCTTTACATAACAAAATTGATAACCTCATAAAGTAAACCCCGTTCAAGGGTACACTTAACCGACGAGCCTGTATGCACTAATGCATGGCGATGAGACGAAAGATATAAGTCAGGATCGTAGCAAGTGCATGGCTGTGGTCGCTGCCTACCCCGATGGGAAAGGTCGTGATTTTTTTTTATAATACTAAGTGACTTGACGACCAACTGGTGGTGAGCGACACGCCTGTCCCTAACAATTGCAGTGCCACTCAGAGCTTTAATCGCATAGATCTGAGGGGCACTGCCACTGCGCCCGACACCCTGAGAAAAAAGTTGACAAGTTGACGCTTGTAATTTCACCAAATATGCACGACAACTTTTTTGCAGTATTGACAGTATATAACGTATTTGCTCTTATTTGAGTTGGTACTGCTTACACAGTATGATGCACATTTACAGCTTTGATGTGCTTAGCCTAATACTACTCCTATATTTGCAGAATTTATGATAAGAGCTATTTTGACTAAGAAATCTGTACAAGGCTCATAAAAGATGACCTTGAACTATGGTTGGGATTTCCTTTAAGAAACTATAGCTGTAGGCCAGGCATAATTATATTACATTTTTCCTCATTTGCAAGTAGAGTACAAAAACTAATCTGGCTTTCATGTGATTCAAACTTTTATATGAAAATTAAAATCAACTCACATCAACTAGTTTTGAATCACGATCAATGTCTTCGACCAGTCCCATAATCCCTTCCCAAAGGGACGTTGTTACTTCTACGTCGTTTTCAGAGACAATAGTCACATTCATATCATCTTCGTTTTGTAGTAGCGATTTCTTATAAGCAGTCTCCATTAATTTGTCAGACGATTCAAAGTCATCGTGGACGCGGGTGATGTTGCCGTAGTCTGTACCGTCGCGGAGGTATTCGTCCTCCTCCATGTCCTCATTTGTTGAAGATTCTATGTTTATGAACCTGAAATGTGTACATAAAGAATATTATTATAGAGTAGTTGAAACAACAGCATTCCTTAACTGAATTGTATTTCTGCACAACCACGCTATGGGAAAAGTCCCTTCCAACTCTTTGCATTTTATCTATTACCACTCTATCTCAAGTAACACATACAGCTGTTAATCCAACATTTTTATTATATCAACCTATGCATTTCTTGTAACTGTTATGTGAAGTGTTATTTCATTTACCAAAATACTATGAAAATAATGTCAGTACAGAGTACTAAAAAAACCGACCTCCAAAGTCATTCAACCCCTAGTTTGCCACCCTTAGAGGTGGAATATTTTTATTCAAATTAAATGGGACCACTACTAAGGTACCCTCTTTCCAACAAAAAAAAACACATTCGAACTGAGAATCTTCTCCTTTTTTTGAAGTTAGCCAAGAAGTAAGACATTTGTAATTATACTTTTTTTAATATTCTTAATTCTTCAAATTCATAATTTGCCAATATAATAAAATATATCCGTATACAAACAAAATTATTATGTAAGCTAAAATCTATAGACACTCCTCAAATGCTGATAGTGATCTATGAATTTAGCTGTGTCAAGTTGTTTTACCACTATTTAGTTTTTTAAATAAATATTGTAAATGATAAATATGTGAACAAAACCTATTAAAAAGAGAAAGCCCTAGAGATAGCCTACAGTTTCTTACTCATTCATCTCAAGGGAATCTGTGTTATGATTGAATAGTATATATTATAATAATACTAGCTGGTCCCCGTGGCTTCGTGTGCATGGAATAATTACTTCGAGTAGTCTACTTAACTATTACACCAAGTACTACGCACATGACAAATGAATGGTTCTCAAAAACAAACTATCATCCCCTATTTTACCCCCTTTAAGATTCATTTTTATGACAAAAAAGTCCAATATCCTACTCCATCTATATTATAAAATTCATCAAATTTGGCACAACCATTTAGGTGTGAAAATGTAACAGACAGAGCTACTTTCACATTTATAATATTAGTTTGGATGAAATAATGATATTTAGATTTTATTTAAATAAAATGGATTAGATTAAAGTGCTACATTCAACACAATAACTCCACAAAATAAAGCTTAATACGCCCAAATTATTTGATCTTGTATTCATAAAAAATTATCATGCATTCTCATGCATACCAAGAAAATGATCTAATTTCACTTAGAACCAATTGCAACTACCCATTGAGTTACACAATACATCTATAAATAGTCGACTGATAGTGAAATCCAATTATTGAAAAATTTGTAAGTCATCTCATGACAATTGCAATTTCTGTAGATATACAACAAAAAGGGCAATTTTACAATATTATCTAACAACCTTAAAAAAATGTGTATTATTTATCACATAATTACAGCATAATCATGCATAAACTCCCAATTATTACGGATTTTTTTACATAAAGTAGTAATAACATGTTTCATTCATACATGCAAATATGTCTGACCTTTAAACAAGGTTTCCCTGAACTAATAGGAAGTCAGTCTTTCATATTGACGACCAAAACTTAACTCATTCATGGAGGATAACAGAATTTACTCTAAAATATGGGGTACCCATTTCACTACATGGATCTCAAAAAACTGTGGGCTTTACAGTTCTAACACATACACACATAGCCCCGCACTAGGGAAACCCTGTATCGCAGGTGCCATGGTTTATGTGTAGTTGCCAAGTACTGCTTCTCCATAGAGAAGTTTCAGCAATGTACTTACAAAATTCAATTATTTACATTGAACACTTTATATTGAAATGAACCTATTTTTCCGGATTTAAATCACGTATATTTGTTTTTTCAAACAAACCAACATTTTGGGCCTTTTACAGGTGTCATGGTTAAGATTGACTGTTGGGACCTGTAAAGGGCCCAAATTATTGATTTGTTTCAAAAAACAAATATACGCGATTTAAATCCAGATAAATAATTGCATTACCTATGTGTAACAATCACAAAAAGCCTAGAATTCGATATTCGATTATATTGAATCAATCATAAGCACATGGTACTCAGAAAAGTAGTGACATTATTGTGTGATACTATTCAAGTACTGTCCATGAACAGGCCAAGTAAACAAAATTAATTAGTTATTAACATAACAAGTTATTAACATTAGTAACAAATTGTGTTAACAAAAACTATATAACTTACCCTTCTGTAGCCAATATACTAATCATAGAATTCAATTCATCCTTATCCTTTTTCAATTTCCTTTCTTTAGCATAACTTTGCTCTATTGTATAGTCAGCTGATGGATTTGTCAGAATCTCAACTCTTAAAATACCATCTCTCGGCCAAGAGTCTTTCACATGATTCAAACATGTTGTCGGTGTTCTTGAGAATGCTATATGAATGTATGCAAGGACAAAGAAAGCAATCAATGCCTTTAATAGCACAAGGAATTCAAAGAATCTCCGAATTGGTCTTGGAAACGTCCGTGCATATGCCACAGCAAATTTGAAAAATAGAGCATGGAATAGCCTCTCACGCACATTGAATAGTGGATTTGGATTATTATTCCTATTACGGTTTACATTTATTCTGGGATTTAATACTGGACCACCAGGAAGTAAATTGTTGTCTGGATTAACTCCAGGTGGTAAATTGTTCATGGGTTGCTGTGCAGGGGCATTAGCATTACTCATCTTTATTTATTCACTGATCTAAGACTAAAACAGGATAAATCACACATGCAATTTTTGTTGTTTTGTTCCATTCATATTTTATGTAAGGTGCCCTGCAAGAGAAAGTAACATTATGTTTACTGCAACTAACCTCCAATAATGTCAAAATTAGAGGACAATCACATTGCCAATAACGTTACAAATTATGTTATAGATTGAAATGTTTAGCGTCAAGTCTACGCAAATTAATTTGACAATGACCCCGGATTAGGAAATCGAAAAAGAAAGTACAATATTATCTACTAAATTTCATAGGTTCATGACCGAAATTGAAATTATAGCAACAGTTTCAGCTCAATAAATGTTATTTTGGAGGGTAAATACACGAAAAATAACGACAACTAAAGGGCAATAGAACGACGTGAACGTAAATTTGATAAGCCAATTCAGAAGAAAAAAACTAATCAACAACATACAATTGCCTCGGTGTCGTAAATTTCACAATAATCGCAACGAAACACAGGATATATTTGTCTAATATTCATTAAACCCTATTCTTAACATTAAACTATGCTAAAATAACGCAGATTAACACTTTTCCGTATTAAATCTGAATAAATAAAACAGATTATTTGTCAAATTCTTGACATGTAATTTCTTTTCTCACTCACCTGTCAATTCACAAACAGATGTCGATAGATTGTGTTGTCTATGACTAAACTAGCATGTCGATTCAACTCTATACTAGCTCCATAGATCATACACTATTAGCGACATCTAGGGGTTATCGGAAATAGCACGAACTATTTCTTTTTCGTAATTTTAATACGCCATACACCATAGATGAATATACCCTCCATACACGTATTACTATTATTTGCTGATTAAATTTTAAATAACTGTGTACAGAGAGATAAGTATCTAAGCTGCCTATAAAATCTGATTGTTTGTTTCTGTCTAGGTAAGTTACCAGATCTGCAGTAGCAAAAAGAGAACAAATTATTTCAAATCTTTAAACACATAGGTATTATTCGAAAAAAATGAATCAAAATTGCGTTAATTTTATTGAGTTCATATTTTTTTCTTGTTTCATTAAACTATATAAAATACAAGACGCAGTTATACTGTTACAAATGACTATCATCAGTCCTTTTATTGGGTCCCTGATATACTCTATGCTTTTATTGCACTTGGTGGTTCATTGTTAATCTCATAGATGGCAGTGTGTTTAATTTAGCCTGAATCAACATTTCATTAGCAAATTACGGTAATGCTTCTTTCATTTTAAAATTGCTCAATTTATTTTCAAAATAACTTTTATTAACTATTAATTAATTAAATTAACCATTTAAAATTCTTAAAGTTAAAATTATATTTTGAAATAAATAGAATAAGTACCCATGTACTTAGTTTGTAAAAATGTATATATTGTTATATTCTCTAATGCACTAAATAAATACAACAGAAACGAATATTTAATATATTTCTTATTATGCCTTTATGTATGTATTGAACAAAAGTATTGATGTCTAATCTTCGTTTTCTATATAAAAACATCAGACCACGGGAGAAACGGACAGTGTATTTTTCCTATCAGTCTACACCACATGAAAATCGCACTCTCCTGGAATAATAGCATAGCGACCAAATATATATATTTAGAACCTAACTAGCTGGTGCCCGCGCGCGACTTTGCCTGATTAGAATAAGTACTTCGAGTTACTTGAGAAATGATTGGTTCTTCATACAGTCTCTCATCTCCTATTTCATCTCTATCCTTTAAGGTTTAACCTTGTGCCAAAAAGTAGCCTATGTCCTAATGTATGTAACTTTTGCATACACAATTAAAACAACACCAAAAGGACTAAAACAACGATGCAATCTTAAAATAAAACATAAAAATGGTTAATTGTAAGTTAAACGTACACACCCACACACCCACATTACTTCTATAGGTACCTAATTTAATTAAATTAAAAAAGAAATTTAATTAAAATTAAAGGTAGGTATAGAAGTAGTGAAATATCGTCAAAGTAAAATATAGAATGGTTTTGATTACTAGAGAACAAAATTTTCAACAGCAGTGGATATCCGATTTTCGTGTATATTCAGGAATACTAAAAATTAAATGATTAAAAAGTGAATAGATTTTATAAATTATAAACGTGTATTTGTGTATCAATTTTGCTCTGAGCAATAGAGTTGTAATTACATTTTTTATTAGGTTAGGTTAGCTCAAAAATACTTTAAGATACCTTTAGGTTTATGGAAATTTTTCATGACAATTAAAGCCGATTTTAATTTTAGAACCATTGACTATCAATGTTTAGAACTCATATTATTTTTAAGCCGACTTCAAAAAAAGGAGGAGGTTCTCAATTCGACTGTGTTTTTTTTTTGTATGTATTTTACGCGATAACTCCGGTATTTGTGAACCAATTTTCATGTTTCATTTTTTGTTGGAAAGAGGGTACCTCCATAGTGGTCCCATTTAATTTTGAAGAAAATCATCCACCTCTGAGGGTGGCTGTTCATGCATTTATTATTTTTTAATTCAAAGGCGTTTTTCTCTCGTCTATACTTTGAGTAGTGAGAACCGATTTTTATTATCTCCTGTGTCAAGTCCCGCATAGTGGCGAACTAGGGGATGAATCCGGGTTTGCGCACTTTGCGGTAACCGATTTCAATAAAACTTGGTAATTATATGCAATTCCACGTACTTTTGAGGTCGGTTTTTTAAGTACTCTGTACTGAGATTATTTAATGCTTTCTTCTCTTTTCTTATCATATCGATGTAAAAAGTGGTGGAATAGTAATTCTGCCCTCTTTGTCATGACTATTCAACTGGCAACTTTTGAGTATTGGCACCTAAAGATTTTTTTCTTTGATAAATTTCAATAACACTGATTTTGCTTAACGAAACGGAAGTTAGGTATATCTAGATCTCGTTGCGCTGATTTCACATAAATGTTACTAACTCAACTTCGTTAAAAATGTCGATTACCTTAGTTAGGATAAAGAGGGCAGAATTAGTAACAGGTTTTTCGACAGTAATATTTTTAAAATAATAATAATAGCTACGGTTTTGAGACAGCAGCAGTAATAATTTTACGGGTCATTTGTAATACAAAACTTTATAAATGCAGGCACAAGCGTGACTATGAACAAAATCCCATAGGAATACGAACAAAGACCATAAAAATTCAACAATAAGCCTTTGCGTAGAGCATGATTGACGTCTAAATTGTGCCAAGGATGTGAAAGAAAAAGGTTTTTTTTGAAATGTCACAATTTGAAAGGACAATAGTGAAAAAGAAACTTTATATTGTAAAAGATTTTTTGTTAGATATACTTACCTGCTATAGGTGGTTTTGAAAATATTATAAAAATTGGAATAATGCCTATTATTATGTATCGTAGTTACCTAATGATTTGTAAAACTTATAATGTGTGACCTTGCTCACATTTAAAAAAATGTTATCTCAGGAAAATAAAAAATGTGTATATATTATCATTATTTCGTGCTGTTTTGCTATACGACGTAACATAGGTTCAAAGATACCTAACTCGTGATTTTCATTTAAAAACAATTACCAAAATGTATCGTAAAAATAATAAAATCAATGACACTAAATATTCTTACGTGTTTTGTGGTATAAATATTATTTAATTTAAAATAAAATATAATCCCCAAAAGTCACGTAACTGTAGATTTATAAAATGAACTTCTACAAAACAAAGAATTCAGCTATATTTGAACTCTACAACAACTTTGATGCGGTTTCTTTTTTCTTCGTCGGGTAGAACATGATGGAATCCACATTAATCGGCGGACCGGGGCTAGATAAAGCCTCTCAGATAAAGAGAAGTAAACTTAAATTACGGGGCCCTCACGTTATAAATATTCAAACACCCGATGGTAGAGCGCAAACGAACCCTAAAGCCAGTCTGTGCTCTGAAACACGGAGGAGTTTGCTGAGAGGCACAACTTCCTATATGTTAAAAAAGTTCCAGAATATAATTGTCGTGTGAGAAAAATATAGTTCGAAAGTGACGCAATTTACAGTTGACATCAACTATTCACATTGCAGATATACATGATAATAGCGAGTAGTGATGAACGGGATCAAATCATAGATATAGGTTCAAATCCAACAGGTGGTTGATATACGACTGATTTATTAGACTTTCATGAAAAACACGGCCGCCGTAAATTGAAAGGGCGCATGTGATACTTTTTAAAAAATTGAGTTACATGTCCTGCCGTGATCAGCAAAAAAAGACAAATCTGCCACAATTTTTTTTTTCCTAGGTGGATTAAATAAGTAAACAACGCACACACTCCACATAGCTGCGCATTAGGAAAACCCTGTGTCGCGAGTGCCATGGACACACACATAGACAACCATAAATTACAATCAAACTTACGAGATAAATAAATGTAGGGCATACAAATATTTCTCCCAGCCGGGAATCGCACCTGGGACCTCTGCGTGGTAGGCATTCGGCCAAGGAGGCAGGAGGATTAGGTATGAAGTTATCGTAAGAGAAAAGAGCGTAAGTACCCACACTTTTATGGTCAAACATAGTTAATTGGACTCATTTAGAAAATAAATTAGTAAAAAGTCGTAATTGCCTAGATACATAATTTTGTTTTAATGACACATTTCTATCACATACGTAAATAAAAAGACGCAAGTCACGTTTAAGTTTGTATCTTCCTCAGTTAAAACTGTACATATATATATATATATATATATATATATATATATATATATTTATATACATATATTTATATACATACATGTATTTACCGAAAAATGTTAGTTTCCCAGATGACAGTTACACAATGCTTACATAAATTTAAAATAAAGTGAAAATGTTATCTCTTATTTCATGTAATAAAAATTTTAAAAATGTTAAGCACCGACATATTGAAAAGAAATTGTAACTACATGCTGCCCTTTTGTCTTATTATTACACTAAAATTAACATAGTGTTGCAATTATGTTAAGCTGAAAAGGCATAAGTGGTTACTTGCGCCTATCTTAACTAGTATTTAATATTTTACGAACACTTTTTTACTAAGTTGAAACGGAAAAGTGTAATAATGACATATTGAAGCATAATAATAAAATATGTTAAATGCCATATTTTGCGTATAATATACATTTATCTTATTGCTTTTGCAGAAAGTGTCTGCATTTTTTCGTTTGAAAACAGCATTAATTTTTTCATACAATGTCTTTAAACATAATTTTCTCGGGTTTTCGCGATTGTTACACATAGGAAATAAAATTATTTTTCCGGATTTAAATCGCGTATATTTGTTTTTTCAAACAAATCGACGTTTCGGGCCCTTTACAGGTTCCATGGTCACGGTTGACTGAGGTGGTACAGTCTTCAACCAGTTATATCTAATATTAATGCAAACCAGCCTATTTTTTCACTATAGTTACAATAGTTATTAATTAAATACCTTATTTTTAATTTTACAAAC